AATATGCATCTAACCTGTGACCTCTCTGCTCCACCCAAGAGAAATGAGTGTGTATGTCCAACAAAAGCCATTGAAAAGTATGTTCATAGGCACTTTACTCATAAAAGACAAATACTGGATACAGTTCAAGTGTTGATTAACAGAACAATGGATAAATCTTGGTATATTCATACAATAGAACAATATAAAACAATTAAACACATCACTGATACATACAACAAATGAATGTACCTCAAAAAACATTGTGTTGAGCAAAAGAAACCACACATAAAAAAATACATACTATAGAATTATATTTACAGAAGTTCAAGAATAGGAGAAACTAGTCTATAGAAATCAAAATAGTAGTTATCTCTAACAGGAGATAGTATTGCTGGGGAAAAGGGATGAGGGAACTTTTTTGGGTGATGGAAATATGCTATATCTTCAACTGGTAATGTTCATCCAGGTGTATATATTTGTAAAACATCATTGAACCAAACTCAAGATTTTTCACTTTACAAATTATATCTCATTTTTATGGGATTTTTTAAAATTGAGAAAGTATACCACCAATTGTGTTTTTTAAAAATATGAGACTATTTTAGACCGCTAGTAAACACACTGTTATATATATAGCACCCTGTCCTTTTTTTTTTTTTTTTTTTTTTTTTTTTTAGTGGGAAGAGAGAGAAACATCGATGTGAGAGAGACACATCGAGTGGTCGCCACCCACACGACCCCAACCAGGGCCAGGGACAAACTGCAACTGAGGTACGTGCCCTTAGGGGGAACCGAATCCGAGACTCTGTTCCACAGGCCAACGCTCTGACTGCTGAGCCAAACTGGCCAGGGCAGCACCCTGTACTCTTCTTCAGAGCTCTTTTAGTTTAAATTTAATGTTTGTTTTCTGTTAATGTTTTATTTTCCCCACTTAAGGACAATGCCTACCCTGTTGTCTGCTTAATCCCCAATACCTGCCACAGTTTCCAGCATACAGAGGATATATGCAATAACCATTCATTCAATCAATGAATTAAGTGGGAAATGTGTCCCACTTCTGTGAAAGAAATACAGACATTACATGGAGGTTAAGTTTTCTTAATATATGTAAAGTGAATAAAATAATGTTTAGCAAATAGTAACTGTTCAACCAATGTTGAGTTAGAACAAAAATTGCCCATGCAGGATAACACAAGACATAAAGTTACTGACTAATGAATGATAAGGTTGAGTACACATTGTGTGATTATGCCTATCAGAGTATAGCAAAGTGTAATAAAGGAGCCAGCGTAATGGTTCACTTCAGTTGTTTTTGTGTTAATTCATTTTAACATTTGAATATAAAAATTTAGAAGTCCCAGATCCTTTCACATATTCACAATTGAGTTCAGTGCTCTTAAATAAGGCCCTCACAATATCTTATACATAAAAGAACTTCAGTGAGACAGAGTAAAGAGAGAGATATCCACACTCTATTTTCTCAATGGATAAAAGAAAACAAGTGCACTTGAATATTTTAAGGAAAGGCCACACACAGTTTTTTCTAACTTGTGAAATTAAAACAGAGGAAAGAGTGCAAAAGACCTTATATTTCAAGTCACTAAAATCACAGTGCCTGATTTAAAATTAACTGATAGAAGTAAAGACTGTAAAAAAGAAGACTTGAAGTAACTTTGCATATTTATCCTAACACTACAGTAATATTTCCTGAAGAATTAACTGAAGAAAGTAATGCAAGGAAGAAACACCTTACTGAAAACTATTTTATAAGACTACCATCTATTTTGTTTTAGAAATGAATGTCTTTTAGTATTTTTATTTACTAGGTTTTTACACACTTTTTTTTTTTTTACATTATTTACTTTTTCATTTTTACCCCAAGTGTGCATTTTCTAAGAGTTTGATCTAACTAACCACATTTTGGCCACCTATATACATTTTAGAAACTTCCCAACCTATCATCAGTAGAGCAGGATCATTATGAAATCAAATAATTTTTCCACCAGCAGAATCTAACGCATATAACAATCAGACACAACTACACCTGAGGCATTACTAATAAATTTAAAAATACATAACAACTTATATTATTCCAGAGAAAAAAAGAAATCCTCGCCCTGGCCGGTTTGGCTCAGCAGTTAGAGCTTCGGCCCACGAACCAGAGTCCTGGAGTCGGTTCTCGCTAAGGGCATGTATCTCGGTTGCAATTTGTCCCCAGCCCTGGTTGGAGTTGTGTGGGTGGCAACCAGTCAATGTGTATCTCTCACACTGATGTTTTTCTCTCTCTCTCTTCCTCCCACTCTGTTTGAGGATAAATGCAAAAACGTCCTTGGGGGAGAATTATAAAAAAAAAAGAAATCCTCTACTATGTACACATGCCAAGTGAAGGAAGGCACTCTGGTAGAAATGAACATCTGTGAAGTTGCAGTGGTGTTCTCTGAGTTCCTATGTCTCTCCCAGTTGGCGCTGCCTGGATAGCCTCTCAGAACCGTGAACAGCCGCCCTCCTCATCACTACAGCTCCTAAAGGAGCCTAGCCCAGCTGGGGTGCCACCCGCAGGACCCCAGTGGGCAAGAGGTTACAGCAGGAGCTGATGACCCTCATGATGTCTGGTGACAAAGCAATTTCTGCCTTCCCTGAATCAGACAACCTTTTCAAATGAGTGGGGACCATCCATGGAACAGCTGGCACAGTATACGAAGACCTGAGGTATAAGCTCTCCCTAGAGTTCCCCAGTGGCTAACCATACAATGCACTCACAGTAAAATTCCTCACGCCCTGCTACCATCCCAATGTAGACACTCACAGTAACATCTGCCTGGGCATCCTAAAGGACAAGTGGTCTGCCCTATATAATGTCAGGACCACCCTGTATTCAGAGCCTGCTAGGAGGACCCAGCATCTATAGCCCATTGAACACATGCTGCGGAGCTCTGGAAAAACCCCACAGCCTTTAAGAAGTACCTACAGGAAACCTACGCAAAGCAGGTCTCCAGCCAAGAGCCCTGACTCCAGCAGTCCAACCTCTCTCCCTGTGCTGTCTTTCTATTTTTTCCTTAGATGAACTGTCCTTGCCTTGATTTCTAAATAGGACTCTATATCATCAGCTGTGGTATCATATTTGTTTTCTTTGTTTTTTAAACTAAGTCTCTGGTTGAGCCCCTATAAAGAATATATTAAATAAATATATTTTTGGTTAAAAAAAGAAAGAAACGGACATCTTTGAACTAATTAGTCAGCCATTCTACTTCACAGAAACAATATTCCTAAATCACATAGAGGTGCTTATGTTAAACGTGAATAACATAATACAATAAGAAAAATGTTTACCACTCCATTGCTTCTTGCTAAAAAGAATTTTATTTTCTATGAGGTCATATTGACATTTAAGCCACATTAACATTTTTTTTATTATTAATTTTTGTTACAGATGTTTCTCATTTTTTCCCCCACTAACACCCCCCCCGCCCCCCGCACCATCCCCAGCTTTGACGTCCATGTTCATTGGTTATGCACATATGCATGTAAGTTCTGTGGTTTCTCTCTTCCCCCCAATCTCCCTGCTCTGAGGCTTGTCAGTTTGTACCACACCTCTATGTCTCTGGGTTAATTTTGTTCAGAAGTTTGTTTAGTTCATTATATTCCACAAATAAGTGAGATCATGTGATATTTGTCTCTCTCTGCTTGGCTTGTTTCGCTTAGCATAATACTCTCCAGGTCCTTCAATGCCATCTCAAATGATAAGAGATCTTTCTTTCTTACAGCTGCATAGTATTCCATTGTGTACATGTATCACAGCTTTTTAATCCACTTATGGACACTTGGGTGGTTTCCAGATCTTAGCTACTATAAATAGTGCTGCTATGAACATAGGGGTACATATATTCTTTGTGACTGGTGTTTCAGGTTACTTTAGGTATATTCCTAAAAGTGGGATCACTGGGTCAAATGGCAGTTCAATTTTTAACTTTTTGAGGTAACACCATACTGTTTTCCACAGTGGCTGCACTAGTCTGCATTCCCACCATCAGTGAACCAGAGTCCCCTTTTCTCCATACCCTTCCCAACACTTGTTGTTTGATGATTTGTTGATGGCGGCCATTCTGACAGGTGTGAGGTGATACCTCATTGTTGTTTTAATTTGCATCTCTCTGATGATTAGTGATGTTGAGCATTTCTTCATATGTCTCTTGGCCATTTGTATGTCCTGTTTGGAGAGGTGTCTATTCAGCTCCTCTGCACATTTTTTAATTGTGTTCTTTGTCTTCCTTTTGTTGAGTTGTATGAGTACTCTATATATTTTGGAAATTAACACCTTATCTGATGCATCATTGGCGATTATGGTCTCCCATATAGTAAGATTCCTTTCCGCTTTGATGGTTGTTTCTTTTGCTGTGCAGAAACTTTTAAGTTTGATGTAGTCCCATGTGTTCATTTTTTCCTTTGTTTCTGTTGCCTTAGGGGATGTATCAGTGAAAATTCTGCTGCATATGATGTCTGAGATTTTGTTGCCTACATTTTCTTCTAGAATTTGTATGGATTCACGAGTTATATTCAAGTCTTTTATCCATTTTGAGTTTATTCTAGTGTGCAGTGTAAGTTGGTGTTCTAGCTTCATTTTTTTGCATGTAGTTGTCCAATTTTCCCAACACCATTTATTGAAGAGACTGTCTTGACTCCACTGTATGCTCTTGCCTCTTTTGTCAAATATTAATTGAGCATATTTTCTTGGGTCCATTTCTGGGTTCTCTATTCTGTTCCATTGATCTATCTGCCTACTTTTGTGCCAGTACCAGGCTGTTTTGATTACAGTGGCTTTGTAGTATAACCTGAAATCTGGTAATGTGATCCCTCCTACTTTGTTCTTCATATTAACATTTTTAATTAGTCCTTCAATTTCCCTGGATTCTTTCTAAAATTAAGTCAAATTTAAGCTTATGGATTAGTAAAGATTGAAAATCCCTTTGGAATACCTGGTGAAAAGATTACGAATAGTTTAAAGAAGGATACATATCTACCTCAGGCCCTGTGATATTCATCAGACCAGAAATAGCAGAGGCCACAGCATCATAACCAGCTCGCTGAGACAGTGGACCTGTCTGACCATACCCTAAAACAAAGAGAATAGACATATTAAGCACCACATAAAGAGACCAGTAGTACAATAGTGTATCTAAAAGCATTTATATCCAGAAATCTTGCAGTATTTTGTTACTATTACAATCTATACTATCCCTTAAAGAAGGCAGTAAAATTAATTATGGTGTTATACCCCATAAGGTTGTAAACCGGTGACTTACAGACCAAATACCTGCATGAATGTTTTGTCTGGCCTGAATAGTGTATTGAAATGTTTTCATTTTAGTTTATAACATTTAAAAATCAAAAGATAGTCCTGACCAGTTTGGCTCAGCAGTTGGAGCGTCAGCCTCTGGACCAGAGTCGTGGGTTCGATTCCAGTCAAGGGCACATACCTCGGATGAGGTTCGGTCCTTGGCCCTAGCCAGAGTCATGTGGGAGGCAGCCAGTCAATGTGTTTCTTTCATATCAATGTTTATGTCTCTCTCTCTCTCCCTCCCTCCCACTGTGTCAGAAAATAAATAGAGAAATATCCTAGGATGAGGATTTAAAAAATAAATAAAAATCAGAAGACAGCACAAAAAATAAAAATTTCTGGTTTCTCTTGAAAAATCAGAAAAAAAAACTAGGCCCACATTCTCACATGGTAACTATCAGAGTTAAATAATAGCTCTTCCCATTTTACACAGGGCACAAATTCTCCAATTTGCCACAGTCTCCACCACTCAGTCCTTTTTTTTTTATCCTCACCCGAAGACATTTTTCCATTTTTTGTTCAGACAGAGCAGGAGGAAGAGACAGAAAGAGAGAGAGAGAAACATCGATGTGAAAGGGACATATCAAGTGGCTGCCACCCACACAACCAACCAGGGCCGGGGACAAACTGCAACTGAGGTACAAGTCCTTAGCAGGAACCAAACCCAGGTCTCTCTGGACCGCAAGTCGATGCTCTAACCGCTGAGCCAAACCGGCCAGGGCTCCACCACTCACTCCTTTATGCCTCAGCCTATTTCACTCACTGAACTTACCTTCCAGACTTCAATAGGTATTTGCTAGTCTTGTTATATACAAAACAACATGTAAAGTAAAATAAAACAATGTCTCCCTAGATTCTTTTTGCATATTATCTCAAGTATACAAAAAAATATATAAATGATGATTAAAAATTTGAGCAAGAGCCCTGGCCGGTTTGGCTCAGTAGTTAGAGCGTCGGCCCATGGACCAGAGAGACCCGGGTTCAGTTCCCGCTATGGGTACATACTTTGGTTACAGTTTGTCCCCAGCCTGGTTGGGGTTGCGTGGGTGGCAGCCAGTCCATGTGTCTCTCTCATGTCAATGTTTCTCTCTCTCTTCCTCCTTCTCTCCCTCCCTCTCTGTTGAAGATAAATGCAAAAATGTCCTCAGGTGAGGATTAAAAAAAAAATTTGAAATGAATAAAATGATTATATCTCCTAACAATGCGTTTTAAATTACAAAGAGACAGTAAAAGGAAAAATGGCGGCAGAGTTAATGGAAGCTACACAGACCATATCCCAGGACCAAAAACTGGAATTACAACTAAAATAAGGACAAATCGTTGGGGGAAAAGCAACAGAAAAGCAGTTTACAAGGACCATATAACCAGGGACACTGAATCAATCCTGGTAGGATTGTGAAGCATGAGAGGGTGGCTGGGAGCCCACAGACAGCAGCGGTCTTAGCTGTGAGCAACACCCTCGGGGTTAAACTCCCAAGCTGCTCCACAGCACAGAGAGCCAGGATAGAGCACTAAAATAGCCACAGCCACTAACCTTGGGCTCCGGCAGAGGGAGGGAGGCCTGGACTGGAACTGTGTGGGGACACTCAGGATTTGGAGGGCACTCAGAACTTTTGCTGAGTTGCAGCCACACAGGATGGTGGCCATCTACTGCTTCCCAGGGCTCTGGGAGAGTTGGTGGCCCCTCCCTTGGGGATTCAACCTCACCCAGGTGGGTCATTGAAATGCAAATTGAGGCTCATTTACAACCAGCATCTGCCCCACCCTCAGGAAAGCCTCTTACGCTGAACACCTCTTACATTCAACTGAGAACCCAAGGCTATTCAACTAAATGAAACTAATGGCCTCCAGGCAAAAAGTTAGAGGATAACTGAACCATTCCTGGGATAGCAACTCTACTCAAGAAAGTAAGCCTTGACAGTGGTGTTTAACGTGGGTCCTCCCACACACATCCAAACCCTGTAGAGGGAGCCACAAACAGCAGAACACCAACACCCACAGGGAAAATTTGGCAGGCTCCAAAGCCCACTGAGATAGCCAAAATGGTGAAAGAAAGAAACAAATACCAAATAAAAGAACAAAAGACCTCTACCATAGATGAGATAAATGAGGTGAGGTTAAGCAAGTTAACAGAGCTAAAATTCAGAGCCATGATCTTAAAGAAGCTCAACATCATGAATAAGGACCTCAACACTATAAGTAAAGATATAGAAGCATTGAAAACAAAGTGAAAATGAAGAATGACATAGCAGAAATAAAGAACACATCGGAAGGAATAACAAGCCCTCATTTGTGAAATATAATGGACATGACAGTCTGAGGAACAGGGTAGACCCAGAAACGTGGAAGTAGAGTACAGACTGACAACCCTCAGAAGAGAGGATGGGGGGGAAGAGATAAACCACAGATCTTATATGCATGTACATATAACCGATGGACATGGACAACAAAGCTAGGGACAGGATGGGGGTACGGGGAGGAGAGTGTCAATGGGGAAAAAAAGAAACATCTGTAACAAAAATAAATTTATAAAAAACTATAAAAAAAAAAAAAATAGACCCAGAGACATAAAAAGAGTATGGTTCAGACTGACAAACCTCAGAGAAAGGTGGTGGGATGGGGAGAGGGATGAGATAAACCAAAGAAAAATGCTGGAGGGTGGGGTGGGATAGGGCAAATGGTTCAATGGGGGGAAAAGGAGAAGGAACATCTGTAACAAAAATAAATTCATAAAAATTGCAAAAAAAAATCTCTGAAAAAGAAAAAAAAGTCTGAATTCAAATTATTGTTCTGCCAACTATTTCTGACTTTTTTTTTTAATCCTCACCAGAGCATATTTTTCTATTTATCTTCAAATAGAGCAGAAGGGAGAGGAAGAGAGAGAGAAACATTGATGTGAGAAAGACACATCAACTGGTTGCCACCTGCATGACCCTGACTAGGGCCTGGCCAGGGTCAAACTGCAACCGAGGTACCTGCCCTTGGCCGAAATCAAACCCGTGATTCATTGGTCCACAGACCATCCCTCTAACCGCTGAGCCAAACTGGCCAGGGCTCTGACTATTGTAACGTGTCAGCGAGATAACCAGAGACACACAGCTGAATTGTAAAGGAGCACTACATGACACTGGCAGTCTGGGGGAAGGGGGGGTACAGCTTTCCCAGATCCTCAGCAGCAATTCTTCTTGCTTATCTGATTTTAAAGACAGAAGCCCCATCCTCCTTTTTAGCCCCCTCCCTCTAAGGACTGGTACAATAGTGGGTGTGACAGCTATTACAGAAGTCAAAATTAGCATTATGCACCAGGCTTGCGAACACCTGCAATGCCTGAAATTACTGGTACTCGGAAACTGCAAATGCCTTCCAACACGTGGGGCAACTATAATCTTAGGCACAATTCTTTTACTTCTAAGGGTAAATAACCTATTATTGGAAAAATACTGAGGAAAGTCCATTGATAATAAAAATGGAGTCATTTCGTCACCTTAGCCAAAGGGTCCAGGTCATGACAATTCTTTTAACCTCTCTGACCCTCAGTGTCCAAATACTCACATTTATTTCATAGATTTATTATGGAAATTCAATTTGATAAGATAGTATAAACAAAACACACTTTATTGAGATCTAAATATATTTAGTTAATATTAATTTATTAATATACTAATATAGTAACTTGCCCTTTCCACAAAATATTAAAGATAACATAAACTACCTTGAAGTACTTTGAACTTATGAGAATAAATAGTCTAAATGTTGTAATTATATTCTTTAATTGACCTGGGCCCCGAGGCTAAGGCGACTAGATTATATTCTTATGTAGGCCTCTTGGCTAAGGCGACTAAGTAACTCCATTTTTATCATCAATGGACCTTCCTCAATATTTTTCCAATAATAGGTTAATTACCCCTAGAAGTAAAGAAACTTTGCCTAAGATTATAGTTGCCCCACGTGTTGGGAGGCATTTGCAGTTCCCAGTATCAGTATTTGCAGGCATTTGCAGTTCCCAGTACCGGTAACTGCAGACATTTGCAGGTAATCTTGAGCCTGGTGAATAATGCTAATTTTGACTTCTGTAATCACTGTCTCATCCACTATTGTACCGGTCCTAGGAGGGAGGGGGGTAAAAAGGAGGATGGGGCTTCTGTCTTTAAAATCAGATGAGCAAGAAGAATTGTGGCTGCTGATCTGAGGGGAGACTATGCCCTCTGCAGCCCGCCAGCGAGAATAAAGCACTCCTTTACAATTTGGCTGTGTGTCTCTGATTATCTCACTGACACATAACATTTGGAGGCCCCAGTGAGATTCCCTGGTGTTTTGCTACACTAAGGGCTAGACGCCTAAAATGGGCAGCCTCTCTCAATCCGGCCACCAGACCTCTATATATCTGAGGGGAGGCGCCCCGAGTTTCAGGCCCCAAAAATCCTACTTGGGTTTCCAACAAGTGGCCAGAAGATGCCAGGACGTCTCCAAAAAGATTGAAGGAGACCTGGTAAAAGCCTTTGGAGGTAAGTTCTCCGTGATTGGTCTATCTGGATGAGAGTGAGAGGGCCGGACATGGTGCAGCCTCTCCTCTCTTGGGAATCCCCCTAAGATGTTAGACGGGGTTCAAATCTGGCAAATTCTAATTCAAGTTTGGCAAATTCTGTTCATTCAAACCCGCCACTGGAGCGGAAAGGGAGACTGATCACCTCCCAAGCAGCATAGGCACCGCTCAGGGTAGGAAATTTCTGGAAGGAAATTCCAATGATGTGTGAGTATGACTGTGTGAATGTAAT